ACAACCCAATTATTTCATGTAACATAGCTGAACTTTAGAAAATAACTTTTGTAATTCATCTTTCATTGTCATCTCTTTCTTGATCAACATGAAGACAAAACACTATGCCAAGAGAACAAAATAAGTTAACCATTTATGATTTTAGGTATTTGATAGCAAATGAGCTTAAGATGTACCCTGACTATTGACTGTTGTATAAAGTCATCATTTGGGGGGTACTATTTGATTTAATGCTTTTCTTTACATACTTTAGTTTTTTAATTGAGCTACCATTTAGCAAATCATAACTTTTAAATACTGCTTTCTAATGCACAGTAAGTGCATGATATGAACCCTATTATAATACTGACACTTTACACAAGGTGATTTTTATAAATTTTTTCACTTGTATCTTGTTTGTATCTTGCTTCACTTCTGGAATTAGGTCAACATGACAATGATGAAAATAATTCTATTTTACAATTATATTCAGAGTGAGTAGAATGAATTTATTTCAGTCATTTAAAATTATTCTTATAATATTCTTATGGAATAGAAAAACAATATGTATGAATGCATAATTTACAACAGAAAATATAGGACATGGAGTCCGAATACTGTTTTCAAAGGCAAAATAAGAAGCCAGAGCACTAAATCCTGGGTCAGGATATTTATCTTTAAACTACTATTTTGTAAGCTAAGTGTTATTACAAGTTTAGGCTGTCACCAACCATGAGGCCTATTATAACTACAAACTAAAAGAAACAAATTATGATACTTGAAATTTTCTAAAAAAATAAATTTAATTCAATTAACTTTGGGTATTCTCATGTTCACATTTGCTTGTGCTAATAAGAACACAAACAAATTGTACAGAACTCCAAATTGAATCCAGAGAATGTGTCATGAAGGAAGAGTTTATGAATGCTGAAATCATATGACCAAACCTAGTTTGACTAGAGCCTTTAATATGATAGGGCTGTAACAACATTTGTGAGGGCAGATGCCAAAGAAAATCTGAAAGAGGATTTAAAACCATCTAAATAATTGTAAGAAATATGGATTTTGTTAAAGTATTATAGTCAAAATCTCTTGACTCTTTCATATCTGAAATGAAAGCCAGATTCATATCAGAGAATTAGCATGTACTGACAGAGTCATCATTCCCAACCTGATAAAAAGTTGAAATCCATTCACAACGGCCCATTGAGTGGTCATCCAACCTCTACTTAAATAGCTACTGTGCTGATAGAGTGGTTGCTTTAGAATCCCTACACCAGCATATTCCAGCCCCCAGAGATTAGAGTAGCATGCTATGGATAGGGACTCTGCTTGATCTAAATATGAAAAAGTTCTCTATGAAAGCAATTAAAAAAAAAAAAGAGTGCCAGAAATTATAGCAGGAAATTCAGTTTTTAGAATACAAATTCAAGGGGAGAATGTAGTAAAGCCCTGGACAAAGAGCCACTCAGACTCTCAAACTTGAGCGAGAAACTGGAATGAAAGTAAAAGTTATTGTATAAATGGATCATATCACAGTTGATCAGAAACTAGTTGAGGGATGGTTTGACTTTTGCTAGGTCCTAATTTCAAAAAAGTCCATCTACCTGCCAAAGTGTTCTTATGGGCATCTTCATGCTTTTCAATAGGTAGAGAAACATGTCCTCAAAGTAACAAAGCACCCAAGAGTAGAGTTCATATCGTATTAGTCCATTCCGAAGACTTCCTAGTAGGATATCTAAGCTGTTTACCAGGAATGGGAAAGTTTGGGGAGGTGGGCTGTGGTCTCATAACTCCTCCAATTTTACCACTAATTGAAGTAGAAGTTAATATAAATATTTACAACAATAAACACACTGACTTGGCAGAATCACAGAACTTGGAAACACCTTTCAATTACTTAAGTAAGCCTCATGTAGAAATAGGGAAGTCTGCTAAATGTATAGAGGAAGATGAGGGCATAATGTGAAATAATACTCATGTCTCCTGACCTTGAAAGTAGTGTTCTTACTCTTCATCACAACTTCATAACTTTAAAATATTTGCTAAATATTGTTAGATCACAGAATCCATTGACTTCTTATATTAGACATACAGTACCCATGAAGTGAGAAGTTAGATCATTCTGTCAAAAGAGGCATGGATGCAAAAGACACTAAGCCTTTTCTGACCAGCTCATTGTTAAGTGTAAGGTCACATGTAGATAAAAGTGTCCTCCTTTTAAAGAAGAAATCCTAAAGCAAGGTTTATGTCCATTTTGTGGAGAAGAATACAAAATTTTTTGAGACATCAATCAACCCTTCACAATATGTGTTTTATTCTGGACAGGAAAACAAAATTTTAAAACATGCAGTATTCCTCAAAATAAATACGTAGTGTCATGACATTATAATATATTTTCATTGGGCATTTTCTACTTTTGCCAAATGAGCCTAAAGCTTAGAGGAAGAGGAAACTGTTGGGGAGAAGAGTAGAAATTGTCCCAAAATTGAACATTCTAGATGGTGTGAAACCTGGCAGAATAAATGGAAAGATTTCAAATTATTACTAAAATCAATATTTATATTGCCAGATTTTAAAGTGTACTTAAAAAAATAAACAAAGTGTACTTAAAAAATGTTTGAAAGTTAAAAGTCATTGGAAATGTATGGAATTTTACCACAGTGATATGATAGAGCACATGAAAAAGTGGAAGAAAAAAATAATACCTGTATGTAAAGCACTCATAACTATAACATAAATAACATAACAAAGTTAATATTTGCAGCAAATTTAAATATGTTTTATATATTTAATATTTATATATAAATATGTATTTAGTGTAGATAGAGTCAATCATAATTTTCGGTAAAAATTCCCACTTCAATAGATCAATTCAAGTAGTCAACAAAATCTATAGAGTTGTTTCTATGTTCCATACATTGTGCAAGGAAAAGACAGCATAGACAACTAAGTAACTTTTCATGGCCTCAGGGAGATTACAGATCAATAAACATAGACTTTAGCATATTAACAAAGACATTTATCTCTTCATTTGATATCTACACAAAGTTGAAAATTAAAGTTCAATCTCGGTCCTTCTGTGTTGCTATTACAGAATACCATGGACTGGATGATTTAAACCATATGCACTTATTTTTCACAGGTATGGAGGCTCAGAAGCCCAAGATTGATGTCCCAGCAGATTCCCAGAGATGGGGAGGTCCCCTTCCTAGTTCATGAAGTGAAGTGAAGTGAAGTTGCTCAGTCGTGTCTGACTCTTTGAGAGTCCATGGATGGAGCAGCCTCCATCCATGGGATTTTCCAGGCAAGAGTACTGTAATGGGTTGCCATTTCCTTCTCCAGAGCATCTTCCCAACCCAGGAATCAAAGCCAGGTCTCCCGTGTTGTAGGCAGACGCTTTACCATCTGAGCTACCAGGGAAGTTCATAGACTGCCCTTTTTTCCTATGTCCTCACATGGCAGAAGGGTCAAGTGAGGTCTCTGAAGTCTCTTTATAAGGACATAACTCCACTTGTCAGGGTACAACCTTCATTAGCTAACATTTCCTAAAGCTCCTCTCCAACTTCACCACATTAGAAAGGAACTTATTTATGATTTTGGAGAGGGACACACATTTTCAGTCTACAACAGTACCTGAAACTGGAGAAATAAATTACAGAACATCTGATAAACCCAAATGGTTGGTTTTATTTAGTGAATAGTATCATGTTTGAGAAGTCATTGAGATCACGTAAGAAATCTTCATGTTACAGTGATAAAAAATTGAGATAGGATGTTTTTCTCATACAATGTGATTTATTGAAAACACCCACCACCTCATAGCTGTACTCCCTCATGAATTCAGACTAAGTAAGGGAGGAAGAATAATAAGCTTCTTTGACCACATGATTCTATCTAGGAGTGGATAATATTTTGCTTCAAAGTTCATTCAGAGAGGCAGAGAATTTTATAATAGTGGATTTTGATAAATGAAGCAATATATTCTGACCTCTTTATTACCTAATAATTTGTATTTTATTAATGAGCTATAAGAATAGCATATGGTGTTAGCATTTTTAACATCTACATCACCCAAAATATCTTGTATCAAGTGCTATAGTTCATCTTTGAAGTTCATGGATTATGGCTTATGCAAAATTTACACATGAAAGTCAGAATCTGGCTCTCCATAAAAGCCTATGGAAAACTATAAGCAAAACAGGAGATGGAGATACTGAAAAATAGCAGAAGTATTATTAGATATTCTAAACTGGATGGGAATATAACTGGGTCATCTCTATGAAAATATAGTGCAAACAAATCTGTTCCACTTGAGATATTATGATTACCCAGTTGGGAGTATAAGTAAGATTTGGTTATTTATCTATATTTGCACTTTGTTCATTTGGATTATTTTTATAAATTTAGCCTCCTTATGCTTAAAATATACAACTCTGAAACATCATTCTCCTTTGATGTTAACATTTTAAGCAAATAAAGAAAAATATATGCAAAATATCTTGCAGATATAAAATACAATATATATCTCTTATATTAATATAGTTGGCTATGTGTAGAAAGGAGTCAAGGAAATTTTTATGTCATATATTTTATTTTTTTCTGAAATCTGGAATGTGTTCTATTAAATATGAAAAAGATTATGATATTTATTTATAGAAAAATCACGAGAAAATCAATAAGAAAAATAAATTTAAAGTACTAACTATTGTTTACATTATCATATAGAAGATAAATCAATAGAATGAATAGTGATGTTTTATACCCCAAACTGTATGTATTTTCTAAGAATCTCTGAAAATCTTAAAAATGCTATTTCAAAATCAATATATACTTTGAACTAGGAAATAATGAAAATCTTTAAAGTATGCTGTGATGATTGCAAGCATTCATATAAATGTTTTGGCATACTTCTTTTTAAATCTGAGGAGACAGTTACTACACTTAAATAATCACAAAAGGCTTTCATGGAAAGATTATTCTTCATTGACAATAGGTGATATGTTTCTCTACTGCCTGGCTCATTTTCTTTTTCTGATCCAGAGCTTTTTCATGGCATTTTTCATCTCTCCATTTCTCAGAGTATAGATTAGAGGGTTCAGCATAGGGGTGATAATGGTATAAAACGCAGTCAAGGATTTATCAATGGGTAAGGTGGAAGGAGGTCTCACATACATAAAAATACAGGGCACAAAGAAGAGGAAAACCACAGTAATGTGGGAGCCACAGGTGGATAAGGCTTTGTGCCTGCCTTCCTGGCTAAGATTCTTCAGGGAGTACAGAATGACCCCATAGGAGATGAGTAAGAATGTGAAGATGACCGTGCAGATTGCCCCATCATTGGCCAGTGCTGTGAGAGCAATAACATGGGTGTCAGTGCAGGCAAGTTCTAACAAGAGGTACATGTCACAGATGACATGGTCAATGACATTTGGGCCACAGTAGGGAAGGTTGTAAACAGACAGAGGATGAATCATAGCATGCAAAAACCCACCAACCCAGGCCAAGAGTAGCAGCAGAGCACACACTCACTTATTCATGATTGTCAGATAATGCAAGGGTTTACAGATGGCCACATAGCGGTCATAGGCCATGACCACCAGGAGGCATATATCAGCACCGCCAAATAAGTGTCCTATAAACAGTTGGGTCATACAAGCTTGGAAGGAAATGACTTTCTTCTCACACAGCAAGGCTATAATCATATTTGGAGTGACTGTAGTTTAATAAACAGCATCCATAAATGATAAATAGCCAAGAAAGAAGTACATAGGGGCATCCAGCATTGAGCTGACCACCACAGTCATGACAATGAGTAAGTTGCCCACCATTGTCACAATGTAGATAAGCAGGAAAATGACAAATAATATTTTCTGACCATGGACACTCTGAGTGAGCCCCAAGAGGGCAAACTCCGTTACATTATTCCTTTGTTCCATAGATCTTACTGTATATCTTTTTCCACTGTTCAGGACAAAGATATCTGTAAATATACTTATTAATAGTGATTTTCCTAAATCTTAAGATATTTGTTTATTCATTTAACCATTGGGCTGTATGGTTTATCATGATCCAGTATTTTCAGAGATTATAATACAAAGAGGCTTAAAACATTGCCCCAAACCTCAAATCTTACAGAGAAGCAAGTTATCAAGATACATTAGTGAGAAAAGAGCAAATTTTAAGTAAATGTTTTGCCACAGTCCCTTTCTATCCAGAAGCTAATAAAATTGTACAAATAATTATTACCTTATAAACATTAATTAAAATTTTAATTACAAAGTAAAGCAAGTTTTTCTTTATTTTTCTTTCCATTTATTAAAGAGATAACTTTCTCCATTCTAGGTGTGGAAAAATCTTCTTAACCATCAAATAGCTATATTTGACAATTTCAAATTTCTTATTAGGATTTAGGAAAACATACAATAATGTCAATTGACAAAAGTAATTTTTTGAAAGATTTACGTTTTAGAAGATACACATAGAGTTAATATACAAAACAGATACATGTTTCTAAGCAGTTTACAAATTAAAAAGGTAAATAAAAATATAAAATAAATTTAAATTATCAACATCCAATTAAAGAAGAATATGTCTAAATGGACAAGAAACATATGATAGGATGCTGAAGCTCATCTGTGAACAGAAAAGTTGGAATTGAAGTAATGGCTTGTTGACTACAATATTATTTGTGTTCTTGAAAATCACTGAAACAGGGTTTACAGATGCTATATCACCTTTAATTTTTAACAGATTAACATACAATGTTTAGAAACCATGTTAATTGAAACTTTACATATATCTGCCCATAAAAATATCTCCAAATTATTACTCTTGATATTAATTTCTAAGAAAACTTCATTAGAGAAGAACATTTTATTCCAGTTCATGAGAAAATGAAAACATCCAAAAAGAGTATTGAAAAATAGCATCAATCTCCACATATTTCAGTAACCACAAAAATTCCTAACACAATTGATTATGAAAATCACAAAGAAAACATCGTGAAAGACTGAATTCTTACACCACCAATATACTCTTGCAAACTGGAAAACCTAGTTCAGAATCTTATATATAAACACATTTCCTGGGTTACCTGCATAAGAAGAAAACCTGTCCTTCTGTGTCCAGGACTCGGATGCTCTCCTGTCCTTCATGCACTGATGCATCTCTGTGAACACACACAGCCAGATACATGCAGCATCACTGGACTTTGAACTCTTTCCATGTGACCAACAGTTTTCTTGCTTGCAGAAAATCTAATTCATCACAGATATCTAGCAAAACTTACTTTAAAATTGTTTGGGTTTTCTAATTGAATGTGAATGTGCTGTTACCTAAAGAATTCTGAATCTGGATGGTGAACAGAGACCAAAAATAATTGTTGATGGCAGGATTTGTCCTGAACACTAATAAATACTAAGTCAACATTTTGCTTAGAGAGAAAACTGGAAATTGTATATAAATTGTTTACACAAAAATGTTGGTGTTTCTGTTTTATGTCAATCAAAGTGAAAGAATGAAACAGCCTTTACAATATTTTGATTCTCCATCAATTATAAAGCCCTCTCTTCATCGTTGAACTGAGTTTCCTGAAGGATGGCAACTAATTTCACTTACATACATTATTATGTTTTGAGTCAACTATTTAAACTCCTGAAAGTCTGTCATGTAAAGTAAGGGGAAAGGTCCATAAAAACATTATCTATATTTGAAATACTGCATATATTATTGAGTCATTCAATTGGTTTATCTCCAAGGATGATTCTTTTTTTTTTTTTCCATTTATTTTTATTAGTTGGAGGCTAATTACTTTACAACATTGCAGTGGTTTTTGTCATACATTGAAATGAATTAGCCATGGATGTACATGTATTCCCCATCCCGGTCCCCTCTCCCACCTCCCTCTCCGCCCTATCCCTCTGGGTCTTCCCAGTGCACCAGGCCCGAGCACTTGTCTCATGCACCCAACCTGGGCTGGTGATCTGTTTCACCCTAGATATACATGTTTCAATGCTGTTCTCTTGAAACATCCCACCCTCGCCTTCTCCCACAGAGTCCACAAGTCTGTTCTATACATCTGAGTCTCTTTTTCTTTTTTTGCATATAGGGTTATCGTTACCATCTTTCTAAATTCCATATATATGTGTTAGTATGCTGTAATGGTCTTTATCTTTCTGGCTTACTTCGCTCTGTATAATGGGCTCCAGTTTCATCCATCTCATTAGAATTGATTCAAATGAATTCTTTTTAATGGCTGTGTAATATTCCATGGTGTATATGTACCAAAGCTTCCTCATCCATTCGTCTGCTGATGGGCATCTAGGTTGCTTCCATGTCCTGGCTATTATAAACAGTGCTGCGATGAACATTGGGGTGCACGTGTCTCTTTCAGATCTGGTTTCCTCAGTGTGTATGCCTAGAAGTGGTATTGCTGGGTCATATGGCAGTTCTATTTCCAGCTTTTTAAGGAATCTCCACACTGTTTTCCATAGTGGCTGTACTAATTTGCATTCCCACCAACAATGTAAGAGTGTTCCCTTTTCTCCACACCCTCTCCAGCATTAATTGCTTGTAGACTTTTGGATAGCAGCCATCCTGACTGGCGTGTAATGGTACTTCATTGTGGTTTTGATTTGCATTTCTCTAATAATGAATGATGTTGAGCATCTTTTCATGTGTTTTTTTGCCATCCGTATGGCTTCCTTGGAGAAATGTCTGTTTAGTTCTTTGGCCCATTTTTTGATTGGGTCATTTATTTTTCTGGAATTGAGCTGCAGGAGTTGCTTGTATATTTTTGAGATTAATCCTTTGTCTGTTGCTTCATTTGCTATTATTTTCTCCCAATCTGAGGGCTGTCTTTTCACCTTGCTTATAGTTTCCTTTGTTGTGCAAAAGCTTTTAAGTTTCATTAGGTCCCATTTGTTTATTTTTGCTTTTGTTTCTAAAATTCTGGGATGTGGGTCATAGAGGATCCTGCTGTGATTTATGTCGGAGAGTGTTTGCCTATGTTCTCGTCTAGGAGTTTTATAAGTTTCTGGTCTTACATTTAGATCTTTAATCCATTTTGAGTTTATTTTTGTGCATGGTGTTAGAAAGTGTTCTAGTTTCATTCTTTTACAGGTGGTTGACCAGTTTTCCCAGCACCACTTGTTAAAGGGGTTGTCTTTTTTCCATTGTATATCCTTGCCTCCTTTGTCGAAGATAAGGTGACCATAGGTTCGTGGATTTATCTCTGGGCTTTCTATTCTGTTCCATTGATCTATATTTCTGTCTTTGTGCCAGTACCATACTGTCTTGATGACTGTGGCTTTGTAGTATAGTCTGAAGTCAGGCAGGTTGATTCCTCCAGTTCCATTCTTCTTTCTCAAGGTTACTTTGGCTATTCGAGGTTTTTTGTATTTCCATACAAATTGTGAAATTATTTGTTCTAGTTCTGTGAAAAATACCGTTGGTAGTTTGATAGGGATTGCATTGAATCTATAGATTGCTTTGGGTAGTATAGCCATTTTGACAATATTGATTCTTCCAATCCATGAACACGGTATATTTCTCCATCGGTTTGTGTCCTCTTTGATTTCTTTCATCAGTGTTTTATAGTTTTCTATGTATAGGTCTTTTGTTTCTTTAGGTAGATATACTCCTAAGTATTTTATTCTTTTTGTTGCAATGGTGAATGGTATCGTTTCCTTAATTTCTCTTTCTGTTTTCTCATTGTTAGTGTATAGGAATGCAAGAGATTTCTGTGTGTTAATTTTATATCCTGCAACTTTACTGTATTTGTTGATTAGCTCATACCTATCAATAATTACCTTAAATGTAAATGGGTTGAATGCCCCAACCAAAAGACAAAGGCTGGCTGAATGGATACAAAAGCAAGACCCCTATGTATGCTGTCTGCAAGAGACCCACCTCAAAACAAGGGACACATACAGACTAAAAGTGAAGGGCTGGAAAAAAATATTCCACGCAAACGGAGACCAAAAGAAAGCAGGAGTCGCAATACTCATATCAGATAAAATAGACTTTTAAATAAAGGCTGTGAAAAGAGACAGAGATGGACACTACATAATGATCAAAGGATCAATCCAAGAAGAAGATATAACAATTATAAATATATATGCACCCAACATAGGAGCACCGCAATATGTAAGGCAAACACTAACGAGTATGAAAGAGGAAATTAATAGTAACACAATAATAGTAGGAGACTTCAATACCCCACTCACAACTATGGATAGATCAACTAAACAGA